AGTGTAATATCAAATGGCTTGAAAAAATAAACAATTGTATAAAGGCAGGATGAAGGTGACATGGCTAAACAATGGCCTATGCCTACTTCACTCTGCTATTTTATTATTCCTTTTTATTTTTGGACCGAGGTGAGTATTTTTGAGTCAGGGACAAATTCCTGGTCTAATCGTTTGTAACAAGGATAGCAGATGCATGTTAGAAAACTGTTTTCAATCTCTCCATCTCAGCTGGTTGGTCATTTGTGCTTGCCTTTTCAGATTAATTCCTTCTCTTGAAATTCTGTTGTTGATCCTGCAAAGCTCAGAGGGCTCTTACAGATATTTGAATTATTCAGTGGTTAGTGTTCTAAAGAAATTACAGAAGGTATTACTTAAAATATGGAGGACAAAACCAAACCCAACCCTGCCAACCTAGCCAACCTAGCCTTATCTTTATAGGCATAGTGTTTTTCTCACTGGTATAGCCTGTGTATTGATTGATAAATCTTAAAGGGAGCTGATTCCAGACAACCCTGCATATAGATAAAGATTTTCTTTACAGATATTGAGCCTGGAGACCTATGACTTTTCCCCCATATTGAAGCAGTATATTGCTCAACAGCTATAGCGTGTCCCAAAATTCACGCCAGAAGTAATTTTGATAGAAAACGCAGGTTTATAATTAAAAATTGTCAATTTTTTATTGATTCATAAAGTGTACAGTATAGGGTTATGTATGGAATAGCACATCAGGTAAATGGCCTCCACGGCTTTGCTGGCACATATGCAAAGCCATGGTCTTCATTGGCCTTCATTGTCCCTGCTCCTGGGCCATCATTGGTACTTGGTAATGCTTATCAAATTGAAGGGATTGAAATCAAAGGGCAACAGATATTAGAATCTGATTCAATAAACCAAGTAAAATTAGGCTTTTATTTTTGTTTTTGTTGTTGTTGTTAATGCTCATGCAAAATTCAAATCTCGTGTGAATTTTGGGACACCCTATAGTAGAGAAGCAGAAAACCTAGTCATATGATCAACCTGTTTTAGGAGTGGTGCTTGGAAGACATCTGAGCTGATGTTGAGCAGAGTAGTCAGCCTTCAGTTTTTCCTTTGTGGTAGATCCATCACAGTCATCAGCTCTTGGTTTTTGGTCAATGATTGTCACCTACAAATATGCATTGACTCTGGGAGAAGTAATAAATTCTGAAAGACTGCTAATAGGGCTAATTGTTTGAAATAGGTGCAAGCTTATTGCCCACTTGGCTGTTAGCAAGTGAGCTAAAAGTGGTTACTTTTAGAGTAGGCAGGAGGAGGGACTGAGGAAAATAATGATTCACAATCTCAAGAATTGTAACTTAATTAGTGTAATGGTGTAATGTATTAAGGAGCAGAGCACAAATTCAGAGATGGAAACATCTGGATTTAAATCACAGCTCCATATATTACCAACAATGAGCATTCAGCTGAGAGTTAATCTCTCTGTGCTTTGGTTATAAATGAAGATAGAAATTCCTTCTCATATAGTTGCTATGGGGATTGTATCTATGATATCATAAAGTGTAAAGAAAGTTCCTATCACTTAGCAAGGAACTCTTATTTTTTTTAAAAATATATTTTATTGATTTTTACAGAGAGGAAGGGAGAGGGATAGAGAGTTAGAAGCATCGATGAGAGAGAAACATCGATCAGCTGTCTCCTGCACACTCCCTACTGGGGATGTGCCCGCAACTAAGGTACATGCCCTTGACCAGCATCCAACCTGGGACCCTTGAGTCCGCAGGCCGATGCTCTATCCACTGAGCCAAACCAATTAGGGCAGGAACTTTTATTTTTATGCCGGCATTCAACAGAAATAGTTAAAAAATAATGGACCCACATCATGAAGATAGTGAAGGCTCTCTAATAAAAATCTTATAATAATTGTTACAAAAGTGCTACATGCTCATTGTAAAAACACACAAAGAAACAAGCCAAACAATGTTGAAAAGGAGAAAGGAGACCATTCAAATCATCCCAAATTCAACCCAGTGATGGATCATACCAATTAGATACCTCTCCGTGCATTTATGTAGGCATATAAAAAAGCAGGTATCATTTATACCCATTTTATCCATTTATCCATTTGTATCATTTATATCCATGTTTTGATGACTAGAGAAGATGGGCACAGGTTTTTCCAGATATTAATACTGGAACCTGGCTTCCTCTCTGCAAGTCTGGTGCCCCCTGCCTGGAGGGCAGGAACTGCAGTGCTCCTCTCTGAGCGAATGACAGCTGCCAACTCAGGAAATCCCTCCTCCTTTCTCTGCTGCACCCACAGAGCCCTCACTGCTGTTGTTCAAATGCCAGTGTTGAGTGCCACTGGGGAATTGCAGTAATGCCTCCTGCCCGGTGGACTTGCTGCCTGCTGTCCCTGCAGCCCTGCTCATTGCCTCACGGTGCGGTCTCTTGTTGATTTACCAGGACTTTGTGGTTCTGTTCTTGTTTAGTTCTTCCCATAAGGTCATTTATGTTCCTCACTCTGGGCTCCATAAAATATCTCCATATTTTCATCATGAATTTCCTTCTTTTAGGCCACCAGAATATGGTGGCATCTGCCTATAGGTGCTGTTCCTGAAAGCAGAGAGCTGGGGCTTGAGTAAATTCGTAGAGCTTATTGCATGACTGTTTTGAGTTCCAGTTGGCAGAGTTTGGTCTGAGACTTGTTTTCATGGCAGCATAGGATTTGGGAGTGAGGTTATTGTGACAGAGAGCTGCGTAGCCCTCACATACTTCAGCAATGGAAGGCAACAGAGAACTGCCAAGAAGTATGAATTGGATAGGAGAGTTAGTAACTGTTGATACCCCCAGATTATAGACTCTTCTATTCATCATGTCACCAATCACTTTACTGAATTATCTTACTAATTTTGAAAGATTTTATTAGTTAATTCTATTATTTTTTTCTACGTACAAAGTTAAATCTTCTGCAAGTAAAAATTTAATTTTTCTCTTTACAATGCTTTCATTTTTATTTTATATTTTATTCTCTAGAGTCTAGACCTTCTGAAGTGATGCTGAAGGATGACGTTATTTGCAGCTCATTTCATTTTTTTCTCAATAATGTAGTCAATATAATAGATACAAAAATAAAAATTAATAGTCAATGAAAAATTTACAAAAATGCACCGTGACCATTTACTATTCTTGTGTCTTTGGCCAATTTCTTTAACCCCTCTGAATTTGAATACCTCCTCTGCAAAATGGATTCTGATAACAATTGCTACCTGCTAGGATTATGTGAGCGTTCCATGGAATGATTTGTTTAAAGTGCTCAGCCCAGCACCTGGCACCTGGCTCAGTACATGATTAATAGGTGCAGAATTTGTGATATGGGTTCCCGTTGGGCATGGAGGGAGTAATCAGTTCTACCTGCCCGGGGCACAGCAGTGGGGAGACAGTGAAAAAGGTTCACATTTCCCAGCAGGTATGAGGTTGGTGAGGAAATTTCAGAGCGAGGGAATGCTATGGGTAAAATTGCCTCAGGACTGTGAGGCAATGTTAGTTTAAGGGACTGCAAAAACTCTGACATGTCTAGAGCAGAGTGTAGATGATATGGAATATGGATAGAGGTGCAGCTGGAGATAAAGCCAGGGTGAGAATATGGCAGGTGTTTGGTGCTATATTAAAGAATTTGGAGTTTCTGAAGGTAATGGGTTTTTATTCAAGGGAGCCATTTGGTCAGGTTTTACTGTTGGAGGCATCTTGGTGAGACCAAGGGAAGACCAGT